CAGCAGGCGACGCCGACCACCTTCGGCCTGACGGCGGCGGGCTGGCTGATGCCGCTGGTCCGCCAGGCCGGCGCCCTGCCGCGGCTGCGCGCCGACACGCTGGCGGTCTCCCTCGGCGGGGCGAGCGGGACCCAGGCGGCGCTGGGCCCTCGGGCCGGCGAGATCGAGCGGCGGCTGGCGGCGCGGCTGGGCCTGGCGGTGCCGGTGATGCCCTGGCACGCCCAGCGCGCGCGCCCGGTGGAGATCGGCGGCTGGATGGCGGCGGTGACCGGCGCGCTCGGCAAGCTGGCCGGCGACGTGATCCTGCTGGCCCAGTCGGAGGTGGGGGAGGTGAGCCTGAGCGGCGGCGGCGGCTCCTCGACCATGCCCAACAAGGTCAACCCCACCCCGGCCGAGGCGGTGGTGGCGCTGGCCCGCCGTGCCGCCGGGGAGGTCGGCGGACTGCACCAGGCGCTGCTGCACGCGCAGGAGCGCAGCGGGTCGGCCTGGCAGCTCGAGTGGCTGACCTTGCCGAGTCTGGCGCTGGCCAGCGGCGCGGCGCTGCGTCAGACGGAGGCGCTGCTGGCGGCGCTGCAGGTGCGGCCGGCGCGCATGCGCGCCAACCTGGAAGCCGGCAACGGGCTGATCCTGGCCGAGGCGGCGAGCTTCGCGCTGGCCGCCCACATGCCGCGCCCCGCGGCCCAGGCCCTGGTCAAGCGGGCCTGCGCCGAGGCGCGCGAGAGCGGGACCCATCTGATCGAGGTGCTGCGCCGGCGCACCGAGGCGCCGCTCGACTGGCAGGCGCTGCGCGACCCCGCGGCTCAGACCGGTCGCAGCGATGCCTTGATCGACCGGGTGCTGGCCGCCTGGGCGGAGGTGACGGGCGACGCGACGTGAGGCGCGTGAGACGGCGCCCGGGGCGCGCTGTCGCCTTGGCCGCGTCTCCGGCGGACGCCCGGCCGGCTGCAGGCGGGCACGCTGCTGCTTTGCGGCACCTTCCCGGTGATCGCCGGCGGGGGCCGGCCGGCGGCGCAGTTCGGCATGGAGATGCATGACCCGGTGCTCAACCGCGCCCTGGTCCAACGCTATGCAACGCGGGGGCCGCCCCTGGTAGCCTGAGGCCGTGCCGGGACGGCCCGTGCCGGCCCAGGCCGGCCCGGTCCCGTTCCGCCGGCCCCTTTTGCCCAGGAGAGCGCCCGCGATGCTGCAGTCCCTTGCCTCCCCCGCCGACCAGTCCCTGCGCGTGTCCGCCGCGGCGCGCAGCGAGCGTGCTCTGGAGCGGGTGGCCGACCTCTCCCTGCTGGAGCTGCGCCGCATCTTCACCGCCCTCGACCCGGCGCGCATCCGCCGCGCCGCCGAGGCGGCCGACCGGGTCATGGAAGACGGGCGCGCGCTGCCGCTGCACGGGCTGACCGTCTCGATCAAGGATCTGTTCGACGAGGCGGGGCAGGTGACCGGCGCCGGTTCGCTGGCTCTGCTGTCCAACCGTCCGGCCCGCGAGGATGCCGAGGTGGTACGCCGCCTGGCCGGCGCCGGGGCGGTGCCCTTCGGCCGCACCACCATGAGCGAGTTCGCCTATTCGGGCGTCGGCCTCAATCCGCACTACGGCACCTGCGGCAACGCGCGCGACCCGCGGCGCATCCCGGGCGGCTCCACCTCGGGCGGCGCGGTCTCGGTCGCGCTCGGCCTGGTCGACGCCGCGCTGGGCTCCGACACCGGCGGGTCGGTGCGCATCCCGGCCGCGCTCAACGGTCTGGCCGGCTTCAAGCCCTCGCAGACGGCGGTGCCGCTGAGCGGGGCCTTTCCGCTCGCCGGCAGCTACGATTCGATCGGCCCGCTGGCGCGCGACATCGAGACCTGCGCCGAGCTGCACGCCGTGCTCTCGGCCACGCGGGGGCGGGTCGACCGCGAGGCGGGGGTGCGGGGCCTGCGCATCGGCCTGCTTTCGAGCGTCGTGGGCGAGGGGTTGGACGACCAGGTGGCGCGCGACTTCGAGACGGCGCTGGGCAAGCTGAGCGCCGCCGGGGCGGAGCTGACGGAGGTCGAGCTGCCGGTGCTGCGCGAGGCCGGCGCCTGCAACCGGGTGATCGTGGCGGCCGAGGCCCACGCCATCCACGCGGACCATCTGGAGCTGCTGGCACGCGACGGCGATCCGCGCGTGCTGCGCCGCATCCGCGTGGCCGAGAGCCTGGGCGCGGCAGAGCGGGCCGAGGCCTATCGCCGACGCCGCGAGGCCCAGACGGCCTGGGCCGAGCTGGCGGCCCAGTGGGATTTCGTCGTGGCGCCCACCGTGGCGCGCGTGGCGCCAAGCCTCGTGGAGGTGGCCGCGGACTTCGACCGCTTCAACGCCCTGATGCTGCGCAACACCGCCTGCATCAACTTCGCCGACGGCTGCGCCGCCACCGTGCCAATGCAGGCCCCCGGCGCCCTGCCGACCGGCTTGATGGTCTGTGCCGCCAACGGCGCGGACTGGGCCTGCCTCGACGGCGCGGCGCGGATCGCCCAGATCGTCACGCCGGTCGAGCGCTCTCCATCGTAGGGTTGGAGTGGTTGTTGGCGACCCTGCGCACGCGCCGCAGCAGGCCCGGAGGGGCGCGACCGACTCGCGTGTCAGGCCGCCGGGCGACACTGTTTTCGATCCATGGGGCTTCAATCCATGGGGGCTTCAATCCAAGGGCGGCTTCAATCCAAGGCGGATTTCGACCCAAGGCGGCGCGCAGCCGCCTTGCCGGGCCTCCGCTTACGCGCGGACGGCTTGGCGACGATGGACGCGCGCGATTTTTGACCCTCGGGAACCGCTGTTCGGCGCCGCCGGGTAGCTGTCCTGCGGGCTCGCCCATGGACAGGGCCCGTAGCGCGAGCTACCAACGCGTGGATACAGCCGCAAAGCGCGCCCGGGCGCCGGTTCCCTCGCCCCGGGCGGCGGCTGCCACGAACTACGGGAGATGGCGACGTGCGTAACTCCTCTCTGGCTCATGCCACCCTGTCTCAGGTGCTTTGGCCGGCGACCGCCGGCAACCGCGCGCTGCGCGCGCTTCTGCTGATCGCCGCCGGGTCGCTGCTGATGACCGTCAGCGCCAAGATCCAGGTGCCGTTCTGGCCGGTGCCGCTGACGCTGCAGACTGCCGCCGCCATGGGACTGGGTGCGGTGCTGGGCTGGCGCCTCGCCGGTGCGGCCGTGGCCGCCTACCTGGTCCAGGGCGCACTCGGGCTGCCGGTCTTCGCCGGCGGTGGCGGCTTGGCTTATCTCGTCGGCCCCACCGGCGGCTACCTGATCGGCTTCTTCGTCGCCGCCGTGGCGGTCGGCTGGCTGGCCGAGCGCGGCTGGGACCGCAGCCCGGCCACGGCCTTCCTGGCCATGCTGCTGGGCGACGGCCTGCTGTTCGTCTGCGGCGTCGGCTACCTCAGCAGCCTGATCGGCGTGGAGCAGGCGATCACCGCGGGGCTGCTGCCCTTCCTGACCGGCGAGGCGCTGAAGATCGCGCTGGTCACGGCGCTGCTGCCGGTCGCCTGGCGCTGGCTCGGCCGGCGCGGCGCCTGAGCCGGGCGCGGGCGTTGGCGCGGGCGTTGGCGGCGCGTCCCTGGCGCACGCGCGGCCGCTGCGCGCCGGGTCACACCCTTTTCCCACGGCACATCGGGCGAGGCAGGTAGGTCGCAGGCCATGACAGCAACGCGCGCCCGCTTGACGGAGCTGGCCAGGGGGCCGCTCGGCAATGCCTACCTGCTGCTCATCTTCACCACCGCCTCCTGGGGCGGCAACGCCGTGGCCGGGCGCTTCGCGGTGGGCGAGATCTCGCCGATGGCGCTGGTCTCGCTGCGCTGGCTGGGCGTGGTGCTGCTGATCCTGCTGTTCGCCCGCCGCCAGCTTCGCGCCGAGCTGCCGCTGCTGCGCACCCACTGGCGCTACATGGCCCTGCTCGGCACCCTGGGCTTCACCGTCTTCAACGCCCTCTTCTACACCGCCGCCCAGACCACCACGGCGATTAACATCGGCATCCTTCAGGGCGCGATCCCGATCTTCGTGCTGATCGGCGCCTTCCTGGCCGACCGCACGCCGGTGCGCCCCCTGCAGGTTCTCGGCGTCGCGATCACCCTGGTCGGCGTGATCATCGTCACCTCGGGCGGCGAGCTGCGGCGCCTGCTGAACCTCAGCTTCGCCGAGGGCGATCTGCTGATGCTGGTCGCCTGCGCCTTCTACGCCGTCTACACCGTCGCGCTGCGCCGGCGCCCGGCGGTCTCGGCCTTGGCGATGTTCTCGGTCATGGCCTTCGCCGCCTTCCTGGCCTCGCTGCCGCTGCTCGCGCTCGAGGTCGCGGCCGGCGCCTTTGTCCAGCCCTCCCCGGCCGGGCTGGCCGTGCTCGGCTTCGTGGTGGTGTTTCCCTCCTTCGTCGCGCAACTCAGCTTCATGCAGGGGGTCAAGCTGATCGGCCCGGGCCGGGCGGGGGTCTTCGTCAACCTGGTGCCGATCTTCGCCTCGCTGTTCTCCGTGCTGCTGCTGGGCGAGGCCTTCGGCCTGCATCACGCCGCCGCGCTCGCCCTGGTCCTGGGCGGCATCTGGATCGCCGAGCGGACCAAGCCGCAACAGGGCTGACCGGACGGACGCGCCGCCGCCCGGTCGCACCGCCGCCCGGTCGCGCCGCCGCCCGGTCGCACCGGCACTCCGTCGGGCACGCGGCCGTTTGCGGCGCGGCCGCCTTGCGCTACTATACCCCGATATGCGGGCTGGGGGCGGCACGCGCCGCGGCCCGCCGTCCCGCGCTGGTCGGAGGGGTCTGGCCGTGGACCCGCTGGTCGCCACCATCGTGATGCGCTTCGCCGAGCGGCTGATCGTCGTGCTCGGCGGCTGCCTGGCGATCTATTGCGGCTACCGCCTGTTCCTGGCCATGCCCACGCGCGAGCGCGGCGCCGGCCGGCTGGAGCTGCCCGGCGGCGTCTCGATCCATCTTTCCCGGGTCGGCCCGGGGGTCTTCTTCTCGCTGTTCGGCGCCGTCATCCTCGGCCTGTCATTCCACTACGGCGTAGCGGTCTCGCTGCCCGAGGCCGCGCCGCGCAGTCAGGCGGCGGTGCAGGGCGCGGCCCCCGCGCAACCCGGCGAGGGGCCGCGCAGCTTCGTCGGGCTTGCCCCGCTGGGCGGCGAGACCGGCGACGTCCAGGCGCGGGAGAGTGGACGGGTCGCGGTCGAGACGGCGGTGCGCCGGCTCAACCAGGCGGCGGACGCGCTGGACCCCGGGCTCGACCCCTACGCCCGCGGCGACATCGAGCTGGCGCTGCGGCGGGCCAAGCTGGCGCTGATGCGCTCGGCCTGGAGCCGGGCGGTCTGGGGCGATCCGGCCGCCTTCGCCGCCTGGGTCGAGCGCGGCGAGCCGCGGCCCGCGCCGGCCGAGGTCGAGGCGGCCGCGGCGGTCTACCTGGCCGGACGCTGACCCGGGGCCGCGACCGGGACGAAGGAGGAGGGGGGTGATGCGACACCTGGTCTGGCTTGCGCTGCCGGCGCTGCTGTTGCCGGCCCTGCTGCTCGCGGCCCCGCCGCCGCTGGCGGCCAAGGACTACGGCTCCCTCTACGACGAGGCCACGCTGACCGAGTGGCGCGCGCGCTACCGGCCGGGCATCCTGGGCAACCTGGACGAGGTGATCCGACCCAACCTGCGGCCGGCCGAGCTCGCGGCGCTGGAGGGGCTGGAAATCGACCTGCCGCTGCATGCGGCGAGCGGGTCGCCGCTTGACTTCTACACCCTGCGGCCGGACCGGGTGGTGCTGCCCGTGCTGTCGCTCAAGTTCTTCGACGACCTGTCGATCGCCTATGCCTGGCTGTGGCGCCGGGGCTATTCGGTGGAGACGGTGCTGGAGTACGTCGGGCTGCTGAAGTACGGGCGCGAGGCCGACTACGGGCGCTGGCCGCCGCCGCTGGAGGCGCTGCAGATCCCGCTCGACGCGCTCGACGACCCCGAGGTCGACAGCCTGTCGCAGAAGATCTTCAAATCGGCCGTCGTCTTCATTCTGCTGCACGAGATGGGGCACATCCTGCACGATCACCCGGGCTACGGTCCGGCGGTGGCGCGCAGCCAGGCCCGCGCCAACGAGGCCGAGGCCGACGCCTTCGCCCTGGAGGTCATGCGCCGCCTGCCGGCGCAGCCGACGGGCATGTTCCTGTTCTTCCAGACGCTGGTCTACTTCGGCGCGAACCGCGGCGACTACGCCAGCGCGGCCGACTACCGGGCCGCGCTGGAGGGAGCCACCCATCCCCTGACCGCCGAGCGCATGGGCGCCATCGCGGAGGTCCTGCGCAGCCGGGCGGCGGACTTCGCCGCCGAGTACCCCACGCGGGCCGCGGGGGTGGCGGCGGCGGGCTATCTGGCCGAGCAGATCGACGGCGTCGCAGACCTGGTCGCCGATCCCGATCTGCAGCGCCTGATCGCGCGGGCCTCGCGCAGCGCGACTCTGGCCGGCCTGGCGCCGCGGCGCGCCGGCGAGCTGCTGGGCACGGCCCCGGGCACGACCCCGGGCACGGCTCCGGGCACGGCTCCGGGCGGGGCCTTCGCCGGCGTCTACGACGGCACGCTGACGGCCGCCGGGACCGACTTCGCGGTGCGCCTGATCCTCCAGCGCGACGGCACGCGGGTCGCCGGCCTCTACAACTACGGCGCCGGCGTCGGCGAACTGGTCGGCGTGGTGGAGGGGCGCACGGCCTACTTCACCTGGCGCTCCGGCGGCGAGCAGGGCCGCGCCCGTCTGACGCTGGAGGGCGGGCGACTGAGCGGGCGCTGGGGCTACCGCGAGTCGGACTCCGACGGCGGCGCCTGGTCGCTGGTGCCGGCCGGCGAGTAGGCCGCGCCCTGACCGGGCCGCTCGCCGCCCAGGTCCTTCGCCTCCGGGCCGCTGCAGAGTTCCACCCCGGCGAACCGCGCTGCGCCGAGCTCCGCGCGCAGGGTGTCCTGCAGCAGGTCGACGAAGGTGCGCGCGGCCGGCGAGATGCTCTGGCCGGTGCGCCACAGCAGCCCGACCTCCCGGCGCGGGCCCGGGTCGGCCAGGGGCAGGGCGGCCAGGCCCGGCGTCGGCTGTGCCACCGTCAGGTAGGGCAGCAGGGTCAGGCCGGCGCCCTGGCGCACCATGGCCAGCAGCGACAGCACGTTGCGCACCAGCAGGCGCGAGCGGGCCGCCAGCGGCCGGTGCTCGGGCCGCTCGATTCGCGCCGACAGGCCGTTAGCGATCAGCGCGTGGCCCTCCAGCGCCGGCCAGGCGACCGGCGCGCCGGCCAGGGCCAGAGGGTGGTCGTCGGGGCAGATCAGCACGAAGCGGTCGCGCAGCAGCGGCGTGTAGGCGAGCGGCGCCGGGCGCGTCGGCGGACTGGCGATGCCCAGCTCCACGGTCTCCTGCTCGACCTCGCGCGCCACTCGCTCGGAGTCGGCGTCGCGTAGGTCCACCTCGACGCCGGGGTGGGCGTCGATGAAACGGCGCACCACGCGCGGCAGCAGCGCGGCGGCGACCGAGGGCACGCAGGCCAGCTCCAGCCGGCCCACCTCGGTGCGCGCATAGGCGCGGATCGCCGCCACCGCCCGGTCGAAGCCCATGACCTCCGGCTTGGCGACCGACAGCACGTAGCGGCCGAGCGGCGAAAGCTTGGTCTTGCGGTCGCTCTCGAACAGCGGCCCGCCGATCTCGGCCTCCACCTGCTTCAGCGCCATGGAAACCGCCGAGGGCGTGCGCCCGAGCCGGGCCGCGGCGTCGCGAATGTTGCCCAGCTCCGCGACCTCGACGAACACCCGAAAGCCGGCCAGGGTCAGGGCCATGTGGCAGGAGTCCTCACAGATTTCAATTTTTCTGAAATATAGCGAAAAGAATTCGGCTTGATTGAAAATTTTCTCTCGACGAGCCTTTCCCGGGAGGTCGGGACGCCGCCATGCGACAGCCGCCGCTGATCATCGATGGACTGCAGTACAGCGCCTGGTCGGAGGAGATTTTCCGTCAGATGCGCGCCGGCGGGGTTTCGGCGGTGCATGTGACGATCTGCTATCACGAGAACTTCCGCGAGACGGT